TACTGAGTTCTTCTCTTCACCCGTTGCGAAGAAGTATTCGCTAAGTCCCAGAACTCCAATATTCGATTTGACTCCAAAACAGTCCACAAAGAAGAAGCCTCGTCTGTCCGTCGATGATCACGATTCGAAACAAACTACATTAAACGCTGGTCAACAAAAAATTGGAGGACAATATTGCAGAGAGGTATGTATGGGAGTGAACGTCCAGAAAAGTATCGGTCACTCCCGACTTGGGGTTAAAGCCCTAGTTTCTGAATAGTTCGGTTTCGGGTGAGCCATTACTAACAGCAATTCCACTTTGCTAATCTCCAGATGGCCATTTTCTGAAAATTGGAATTGTTTAGCATCTTTAAGGTTTCTGATATTATTTGTGACCCATAACCAATGCTTTTCTTTGTTTTTGTTTATTCAAAAAATAGCTTCAGTGTGACATGATGTACTCTATCGAAAGTATGGCAGAGGTGGAAATGCACAAAAGGCATCATAATAGGCTATTCGATATCGCCGAAGTAAAAGTATCTTCATCACAGCTCAGTCTATGGCTTAGGTCAGTTTATTTTTCATCTGAATCTCACAATTAGATTAACAGCTAGAGGCCGCTTTAGAAAAGAACGTCACTATGATTCTCCTAATGGATCAATTTTCCGCATCCACCCACATTCCACGTCTTCCCTCAAACGGAAAGTAGAACAAGTAATAGAGGTTCGTTCAAGTTCCTTGTGAGGTTTCAACACAAAACTGAAGTTTTTAGGAAATTGTTAATCCAAGTGTAGGATTTGCTTCCGATCTTTCAATCTGGGGTTGGGATGAGAGGAGGACCGTGTGGGCGTCAATCATTAGCGAGGTTCGTTTACAGACTTCCTATGGTTTTCGTTATTGCGGCTCTTCCTGTCTTCCACCAGTGTTTCCGTCTATCTATGACTGCTCATCTATTTATTATTCACTGACTTTTCTTTTTTCCGGTTACTTGGACTTTTTCCAGTTACAGACAGTTTCCATCCTTTTTCTTTTCAAAAAACTGAACCTCATTGAGCTGAGTACTGCATTTTGAATTGGATGCCATCATGCCGTCTTCACAGAAATTTCTTTTTACGTCCGAAGAAACTGGTTCTCTTCCGAGACCATCAAATTCACAATTCACAATGTCATTTTGCCAATGTCAAAGTGGGGTTCTCGTCATCCCATATGGGAATATTTCAGGGTTCTACATATTATATCGCTGGTGTCATCGTGACGGAGCCTCTTTTGTCAGCGCAGTGTTCGGTTACGGGAAAAGTCAGTTTTTTCTTTTTTCCCACTATATCTACATTTTTAATTGGTGCTTTCCAGACTATACGTGATGGCGAACCCATTATTGGTGTAAACCGTCTATGGACGCATTTTGCTGCAAGAAGGAAAGGCATTGCTAGCGAAATCCTTGACGTCATCAGAAAATGGTACTTCACTGGAGTGCTCGTGCTAAGAAATAGGTTTGTCCATTCGTTCATGGAGATACCGAGCTAAATGAAGGTAATCTATCTAGGGTTGCGTTCAGTGATCCAACTGATCTTGGTAGGCAATTTGCTGAACATTATTTAAGGTTTGTCAGTCACTTTTTCTACTTGTTTTTCTTGCACTCGTGTTTCCTATGTCATGTCCAATATAAGAATGCTTCAAAATCGAACTGAGAGCAGAGTTTCTCCTCTTCCTAGTGACATACTCGAACTTCGACGTATGCAACTTTCTTCATCAAAAGCTAACCTTTTCAGGAAAGAGGGACAGTCAAGCTCCTCCATCCTTATTTATCAAGTCTCCAAATGAGACTCAGACCCGGTGGTGCCATTTTTTCGTAGTGTACGATCAAGGGCGACCATCGCAACACATAGAAGAGTTGATGCGTACAGTACATTTCTAATCACCTATATTACCTTTGACAGATTGATATACATTCTTACATATTGCATCTCCTAACTCATTTTAGTCTTTTTCGATTCGAATATAGAATCTCAGTCGTATGATCAATACGGAGTCTTTGTCTACACGTTATTAGAAGCGAATCTTCACTCATTTATTAGGTATTCTCAGATATTTTCATTGTATATATTTGTAGTTTTCTTTGTTAATCAGTCACAATAGTGATTCCTGTTTATCAGTCTCGTAATAGGCAGCTCCAAGAGCTTATCCCTGTGAATAAGTTAGATACCTTTTCTAATAATTTACCTATAGGTATTTTATGTTCAAAACTGACTTCTTCTCTGTATGTATTTTCGGCCTTTTTTTTTGCAGGCACTGCAGTTAACTATTGAAAATAGATTTGAGCTATAAAAATAATTTTTCCATAGCCTTCCTTACAACCAACTATTGTTCTTACCGGGTCTGCAAAGCGGCATCTTGAGTCTAGCACAGCGAAAAATATGTTAAGAAAAAATTGGTCGGTAAAAATGAGATATAACTACTGTTCTGAGAAGTCATGGCATTCCACCGGGTAGACGCGGTTTTTCGAAGTGGAATAGTCAAAATACGATGGACTCTGGTACGCTACGACAGAGATTGTATCCACTTTTCGTTTTGAAGCTGAAGGGGGTAAGGTGTTCTAAAAGGTTCGCTGTTTATTGCCAACTCCTGATGATAATTTAATCGAATTCAACGTTCAAAGATTTTGTGGGGTAGTATAGGGAGGCAATTGATCACGAACTTGGTTTCAATAGGCCAAAATACAACAAATCTTAACACCGAAATAATGCTCAAGGTGAAACTAGATGGCAGGTAAACAGTCAGCTGTCACTTGTCCAGATTTCTATTTCCTTCGCAGCTCCCCATCACTGCACTCAAACCCACTATACAACACTAGTTATACCTAATCGCTTACCTGTTCCCTTCTACATAACTTCCACTGCCTCCTTTTCAGGGTTGGCTGATAATGCGCATGAGTTTTCCAATAGTTAACGGATAATACTCAAATGAGATGCAGTACAAAGCCAAGTTATGATTCATTTTAACGGCTAGTTTTACACAAAGAAGACATTGAAGGAAGACTGTGCTGTGCTCAATTTTG